CTTCCTACGTTCAATTTTCTTCATACTAAAGAAATACTTTTAAGACTTTTTTCCTTTCTGTACTTTTCCATTCTGTACTTTTAATACATTGTGCCTAACTGTGGGGCTTCTTTCCTTTTCTTTATTTTTCTTTATAACACTGTTTGTATCTTAGTATGGAATATCAATTTGAAAACTCATGTATTTCTTCATTTTGGGAGAATTTTCATGCACTATCTCTCCAAAACTCACCTTATTTCCATTTTCTCCATTTTTCACTTAGGAATATAGATACATGTTGGAATTCTCATTCACTTTCAGTTTTCTACTCTTTGTCTTTTGGTGCTGCATTCTAGATTGTTCAGTCAAACTCTGTGCCCTAGAGATTTCCTGTTCTTTCCCTTCTTCCTTTATACCCGGGACCTAGAACGTCATAGAGCTGGTGGTTGTGCAGCTGGCAGTGGGCCATAGCGGCGCTACTGTGACAGTGATTTAAATGTTTCTTCTGTTCCCCCAACACCGGTCTTCTTTCTGCTGCTATTTTCTCAGACATAAAGGTAATGGTTAGGAAGTCAATAGTGAGAAATGAAGGTAGCCAGACCTGAAAGACAAATCTGTAGGACTTTGTTACTTCCCCTACATCTACCGTCTTGACGTAAGGAATCCTCCCTCAGTTGCCTCTCAAATTTACCTGTAAAGATATGCAGAGCTTTAAAAACAATGTGTTATAATTAGATAGTGTCTCATTTCCAATGCAAAATTCTATAATCTTGTGAACAGACCAGACATTTTTAGCTGTGAAACCATGGCAGATAGGTAGACATAAAGAGCTGAGTTTCGAAGTTGCTAATATTTATCACTTGCCTTTCATGAATGAGGATGGAATTCCTGTTCTGACAGATACAAAATAAAGTATCTATACCTATGTTTACTTATCTATACCTGTGTATCTTTTATTCTATATTGTCAATAGCAGCAAAATGTGGACAACTCCGGAGAGCCAGGCTGAGTAGATGTGCCGAAGTAACTGTACCAGCAATGCAATGGCCCACCCTCTGACCTGAGTAAGTCCTTCATCTGTGTGTCTGTGAAACTCCCTGGTAAATGAGAAGCCCCCACTTCCATTGCTAAGTGAGTTACCCATCTTGATGAGTGAAATTGAGACTTCCTGGCTAAGGACAGCAGTCCAGTCTAATGACTTAGAAACAAAATCCTTTAAAAAAATAACTCACTAGGTTTTTTGGAATGGAATGCCCTATTTATCTAAGTAAGTTGGATCAGCGATACTGGTAAACCTGATGTGCTTAGAAGCCTGGGTGGTGATGGGAGAGGAGCACCATTAAACAGCTTTCCCCAACTCATTTGCCTCATGTACCTCACTAAGTGGCATGCATTCAATTTTAACCCATCTTCCCTCAGCTTTATCAAAGGAAAAACCATAAGAAGAATTTTAAATTAGCAACAATTTCTGGTCCCTAATTAACCCAATGGTTGTAGTGTTGTGCCTCCAATAGTCAAAGAAGCTCAGCCAGCAACTGAACGTAGTATGTTATTAAGCAAGCCACACATTTTTATTAAGGGCATTCTATGGTCTCAGCACTTAAATTTTAGTGAGAGATAATAAAAAAAGATATGTTCTCTAGTAGGAACTGCGAATTTATTCACTACTCACTTATTGGGATCTACTACTGTGCCAAGTGCTCTAGGAAAAACACAGGTACTTCATAAAAGATGCTAAGTATTTCCTTCCCAAATGAGTTAAACAAACAAAAAAATTAAGATTTTATTTATTTATTTTTAGAGAGAGAGGAAAGGAGGGAGAAAGAAAGGGTGAGAAACATGAATGTGTGGTTGCCTCTCACACACCCCCTACTGGGGACCTGTCCTGCAACCTAGACAACTTTCCTAACTGGGAATCGAACTGGTGACACTTTGGTTCACAGGCCAGTACTCAATCCACTGAGCCACAGCAGCCAGAGCAAACAAAAATATTTTTAATAGTTTAAACTTTCTTTCCTATGAATAATTTTTGTTCTTTTACTATTAGGAATCTATATCTCTAAAAATACAGAAAAACAGTATATAGGATATATGACCATCAGACACCACACAGATATTTTTTGAATATGTAACAGTTTCTAAAAATGTCCTCATTGGTAAGGAAAAAAAGAGTTTAAAATACCAGATGGTGCATCTCCAAGAGGAATATATTTATAACAGCTCTATGTAAGCATTAGAACAAAAATTTAAGTTGGGAGTAAATACTTGTGGTTATATGAAAACATAACCCACTCTGAGTTAACTTGGCAGATTAGTACCAGTAGGAATTGTTTAATTAGAAATTAGTCAAATTTCCTAAAAACATCATTTCATTCCTAGGAACAAAAGCAAAAGTGTGTATTGAATAAAGCAACACTTGCCCACTTAATTAAAAAGCAAACTATTTAACATGAAATTTTTATTCTCCCTGCCCTTAGAATGCCCACATCCTCCAAATAATTTAATATAATTAAGATTGAAGCCTGTATAATACAAAAGTGATTGAATTTTTCTTTCTCAGTATTTTATTTCTATGTAATAAATATACACAAAAATATATAAGAACATATATTCTTTTCACTTTTTTAGTACATATTTAATTTACATTAAACCTTATTACATGAGAACTTCCTGATTCTAGGCCATCTGAAAGTACAAAGAATTTAAGCAATTACATCAAGATTATAGTAAATTAAATTTAAATAGTAAAATGCTGTTGTTTTATGAAGCTTGCCATTTACATTTTGAAGAATAAATTAAAATTTGAAGAGTTTGAAGAGAGAACTCTGAGCAACTACCCTGAAGGCAATACCATGGAGGACCAGGAGCCGATTCTAAGTTCTTTGCAAGTTAATACTTAGTTATCACAATAACCCTCTCCTTGCATATTGTTGCTGTGTAAAATTTTTATTCCTCTTTTACAAATAGAGTAAGTAAGGTGGGGAGGTCATCAGCCCCCGGTCTTAATGTGAGTAGTGGAGCCAGGATCTACGCTGAGGCAGTGGGAGCTCATGGCTGCGTCTCGGCTATAGTGCTGGTTTGCTTCCCAGTAAATATTGAGTCAGTCAATTCTTCAATATGGCCTGATGAGGTTATTTACTGACTAAATGAACCTAAATTACCAAGAACTTTCTCCTTCTCTACAAGGAAGCAAATTCAATACCTGCAATTTGAAATTTAAGTGCACGGAAAAATTAGGAAAACTAATTTATTTTATAGAACTAGAAGCTTTCTATGGGTGCAGGTGCCAGGGTTTTCTGCTGAAATGCAAATGATTAAAATGTTGCATATTTGTTTAGATTTAACAACTATTCTTTGCTCAAGTAGTATCCAAGAATTAATTTGCATGCTAATTTAAATCCTGGCAACAGTAAGTATAATTCTCCCTTTCCTCATTGTAGAGATCTATGCCTGATATCTGAAGGGGGTGGTGCCGATAAGTTATACTTCTTATTTACAAATGTGTTGGCTTACTTCCAAGGACCCACTCTTAGTGAAATGGACTAGATATTCTGCACAAAATTTTGGGCATTTGGGATTTTTATAGATTTTTATGAATTGCTGTCTGAATCTGCTTTACCATTTAAAATATAGGAGTTATAACATGTCCCTACCATCCCAAGATCTGCAAGTCTTGTTTGGATAAAAATTAGATGAATACTTTGCCTGTTTATTATATTCAACCTCCCAGATACATACAGAAATAATTTCCTTTTCAGAGTTAGCAATGAGCTTGTAAAGGATGACAAGGAATTAGAACTTTTCCATATTTAATGTTTCCCCCAAGTTTTATTTCTGGGAGTACCTTTTCCTAGGAAGCCCCCAAACAGGAGGAAGGAGGGTGCTGGTGGAGGGACCCCTGGTGGGGCAGGGACAGGTCCTTTCAGGAGTCACCTGTCAGCAACCTCAGGAAAGGCAGTGAGGGGAAGGGTGGTGTGAAATACTGGGTAGGGACCTGCTTTTAGGCAGTTCTTAAAAAGAATTCTAAAATAAGAAATGTTGGACAAGGCAGTGATGAGAAGCACATTTACATTACCCCAGACCACTTATCATCACCTCCTTGATGACCATAGCCAACATTTAAACTGTGTTTTAATATTTTACAAAGCATTTTCATGTAAGAGCCGATCTTTCATCTTGAAGTCCATCCTTGTCTCGCCCTCCCTGATTTTCCTAGCGCTTTGATCTTGTCTATTTCTTGTTGATTCCCTTCTATTTCCATCTCCCAGTCATTTCTCTTTGGCCTTTTGTTCTCTTCTTTTTGCAACTTTAATTATTGCAATGACTTCTGAGTCTTCCCTGAGCTCTGGATGTCACATAATTGGCAGAGTGCATAATTAAATAATTCCTGGAAAAAAGAATCAATCTCTAATTATCTTAGAAATTTCCACTTAGAGGTCACATTACCACCTCATAGACCGAAACCAACTTCTTGTCTTACTCTTAAAATAACTCCCTTTGATTTTTCTGTAATGGTAGGGAGAACATTTATTGAGCGACTATCATGTGTAAGGCACTTTCCAATATATTATGTATCTCTCATAACAATTCATGACTTAATGAAAAAACAGTGAGCAAGTGAAGGAATGGAGATTTGAACCCCGGCCATTGAACTCACGCCTCAGTCGGTGCTAAGTCACTTAGCCCCTCGCAGTTCCAGTGTGTTAACCTGTCAAGCGGAGGCCTAATGACAACAAATCCAGCCAGAAAACATAGGATCTGAACTGACAGGTAATTAGGGATGAACAAAAAGGATTGCAAACTCAGAAAAATCAATGATAATAAATTTATAACTAGAAAAATATTTAAAAATTAAATCTTTTTGAAACTGCAGTCATTTCATTTGTTTGAAGCAAGTTTGGAAATAATACAAATATGTTAGCTTATCCTAATTTTGCTTGGAATCTGACTTTTCAGGATCATTTCTCAGGTTCTTTGCAAAAATATTAGAGACTTGAATAAAGAAGCAATACAAGTGATTATTTCATTTCATTAAAAATTTATTTTTGGAGCTCATAAATGAGTAAATTCCAAAATAGTATCAATACAGAGTATTTAAGGACATTTTACTATTTCTTTCTACTCAACATTCCACCTTTGTCTTGCTTTCTGTAAACAAGTATATTGGATTAAAGCAACAATACTCTTAGCCCCAAACTCAATGCCGAGCACTTTCCATTGTCCGTTTTGAGCACATAATAAAGCAGAGGCAATTAGTTATTCCTGAACGTGTTATGTTCACTCGGAGCTTGGCAATTGCGTTGGCTTCACATTATTCTCTCACAAATGATAGCCAAACGGCCTAAGTAGCTAAAACCATAAAACTTTTAAGCCAAGTCAGTGGTATGCATAAAGTTAACATAACAACTATAGCATTAAACATTTGTTTGACACGGCACCAGACATATGACAAAATAACAAGCTTCATTAAAGAACGAGGTTTTTGGGGGAAGAGGAGTCACACCAACAAAAATTATTAGAAAAGATTATAGGTAAAAAGGAACCCGCTTACAATTTAACCCAATAACAAAGGAAAGGGGGGTATATCATCAGGGTGGATGTCAGTTCAGGAGTATACATTTATCGTTCCACCACAAACTCGTCCACCACCTCAAGGGCTCAGCAGCAGGCTCTCAGGCCTTCTATTATTCTCCCACTGAGTTTCTCTACATGGAAAATAAACCCACGTGTATGGCAGCAACAGAATGCTGTACTGCTATTTAATCTGACAGTAAACAAAAGAAAAACAAATGTTAGGGCCAGACTGACTTTTGGCCATTTCAATACCCCTGAAAATAGGAGCAAAAATGAGTCATTAACAAACAATATTCAAAGAGCACTGTATTATCTAATGTGATTTATAAAACAAGTAAAATTTAGTCATCTTCAGTGGAAAAAGCCATAGTATCTCAAAATTAGGAATGTTTTGATGATGTTTTTTTACCAAAGTAGTACTCCAAGCCACTGAAGTTGGAACAAATCCCAAACTCACACGTTTGCATCACCTCTGTTTAATAATCCAATAAATGACAAAAAAGACAAACAGTGAAAACAGCATCATATAGCACAGCAGCTTTGTTTGGCTCCCTCTGGATAAAACCTTCAGTTTGTCCATAGTTTTACCTAGAAATCCAGTTGTGGAATCAAACTGTGAATCCTATAAAAACAAAACAAGTTATAATATTTAGATTCTAATACTCTACACATGCACATTTAAGTAATTGGATGTATTGTTACTGGAATACATTTTTCATGACATTTTTAGTGTTTAATCAACTCAGGAGTCTTTTTATAACTTGGATAATCAGCCTGATTACTCCATGCAAAACTGAGTAATCCTCTCAATGAATAAAAAGCTCTTTCATTATCCAATAAACATTTATTTTAGCCCCAGAGTAATTCAAAAGTCCCAAATTATTTAGGTCTCATTCCAATTATGTGGATTAAAAATACACTAACAATAAAGTAGTTTGTCTACTATCATACAGGTTTTTCCCCACTTTGGGGCGGGGGGGGGGGGTGGGTGGGTGATCAAACCATTTTACTGAGGGCCTTCGGGGGAGGGTCGAGGGGCTGGGAGGACGATGAGATCTGACACCTCCGGCCTGACCAGGATCTCCCCAGCTCGGGGCTGTCCGGGAAAGTGGTCTTGAACTGTGGTTTTGTTGGGCGTGCTCTCCTAACTCAAATGGCTGTGCTTCCAGGTACAGCAATTCATCCAAAATTTCATATGGTTGTTTAGCAGTTAAATGTACCTTTACTTTTAAGATCTTTTAATGTAAATAGCTGCCTTTGAAGTAGAGTCTATTAAAAGTTAAGAGAATATAATGTAGAAGTGGTAAAACTTAGTAAAAACTACAACACGGATGGGGAAAACTACCATGTTAAAACATAGCTGTTAAAGTCCTGATGATGGGGACTAGGTATGGATTAGACCTATTGCACTTGCACAGGAAACTCAATGTCCTGAGGTGTAAAGACCTCGGATAATTGTAAGTCTTTGCACCGCTCAGGTTCCAGGGAGCTCAAGCACTTTATGCATCTGTACTTCCTCAGCAGGGTTATGTATCAGAATCAATTGCGATGCTTTCTTAAAAACACATATACCTAGGTCCCTCGCCCTGACACTCAGAATCAGTACAGAGTGGGAACCAGGTGTCAGTATCTTCAGACAGCCCCCCACGGGACTCTAATGTTAGCGCAAGCTTCACGGGAGCATGGCTGTCAGTGCCAGGCTCAGTTTTGAACAGGACAATTTTAAAAGCATGTGGAAAAACTGGGGAAAGCCTGGACAAGTTCGGTGTCCAAAGTAAACACTAAAGAACAGAAAGAGGCTTGCAGAAGAAAAGGTATCTATTGCTGACATTGTTTAGACTACAGATAAAAGACTCGGGGATGTTACTAGTTCAAGTCCTACTGATTTGTTCAGAAGTGATCCTTAGGATATCAAGCAAAAGAAAAACAAATAAGCAAGCAAAATATAACCAGAGACAATGAAATTACGAACACTCCGACAGTAACTAGAGGGTAGGTGGGAAGGAGTACTGGGGTGAGGGGGAAGGATTTTCAAGAACAACTGTAGAGGACACATGGACAAAACCAAGGGGGGTGTGGAATGAGGGGAGGGAGGTGGGGATGGATGGGGTGGGGGGTAAATGCAGACAACTGTATTTTAACAATAAAATAATTTTTTAAATAATCAAAAAAGAAAAAACAGAAATAACCTTATATTAAGTGTAAGACCTTTGGCTGACTGGAGGTAAAGTACTTTTTGATCACTTAGTAGCCTATATCCATTGCGATATAGACTGAACACTCAAAACAGTCATTTGTTCTGAGTTGTCAACAGTGCTTCTAAACACAGCACTAAAGCTCCACTGGCTTCCATTCCTTCATCCTACTTATTTGTGTTAGGCAAGATGAAATTTGTAAAATATGGCAAAAATAAACTTTGTGCTTATTCTAAACCAATTAAATATAAATGGATTGAAATCTAGGATTTATAATCTCTAGATATATTTCAAAATGGATAAAAGTTAAAATGGTATTATTCCTGAGTAACAGACTGAGAATATTAGATCAAATTTCTTACAGTTAAAATCCCACTTACCATTTCAGCTAAGAATTTATTTTGACTTTTAACTTCATGGCCTATTTCAATGGAAAGCTATAAAGAAAAAAACATATATTACTACTCATATAAAGTGTTATAAAACAAATATAATGCCATTTTAAATATATACTTTCTCAAATAAAACTATTCTAGAAATAAAAAATATACTCGATACATTTTCACTGAAATTAACAGAAAATATATTTAGTTGTTCTACTCCTTCCCCATCAAGAATATTGCTTCCCTACTCTTCATTTGGATTTCATCTTAATATCCAACTCCATTTTTAAATTTTGGTACATACGTCTCTCTGATTCTCCTATCTTTGCATGCTTTTATCTTTCTTTTTCAAAATATTTTATTCATTTTTAGAGAGAGGGTAAAGGAGGGAGAAAAAGAAGGAAACATCCATCAGTTGCCTCTAGTAGGAACTCTGGTCAGGGGCCACACCCAGAACCCAGGCATGGGTCCCAATCAGGAGTTGAACCATGACCTTTCACTCTGCGGGAAAATGCCCAACCAACTGAGCCACACCGGTCAGGGAATATCTTTCTTTATATTATGCACATAACGGCATTTAGCTGTGTATTTCCTTCTTTATATTTTTAAAGATTTGTACAAGTACCTATGTTATCATTTCAAATTCAGATATAAGTATTTAATATTCTCCTGCTGAAATGTGATATTACTTTGACTATATGCCTAGATTGATTATTTCTTTAGATTCTAAAGGTATTTTTCTTTAAAATATAACAAATTTGAAAAAAAATTTTACGAGTTAGTATTATTAAGATTCTAAAGTTATGCATAAATGAGAATGAGCCTAAAGAAATCTGTAATTATGTTTGCTATTCAAACCAAAACGTGTTAAATACCTTATATGACAAATTCATTAAAGCCTTCACTTCTAAGATACTTGAATAAATACAATCACAATTACTAAAAACCTTGGCAAACCATTGCAAATATTGTTCTCAGCTTACTTCGTGTGAAAAGTATGTGGGGATATTATTGACACAAAACCATACTAGAATTCTACAGATCATAATATGAGATAATAAAGCAATTATAAAGCTCGACTGCCCAAATTACCTAACTGCTTTGTACATTCCTGCCACTGAAAGGAATTTCCAAGGGAAAAAACCTTTCGTTTAACAAGGAGCCTATATTATCACATTAGAGGTTTTTTAAAAAAATCATTTCATTCCAAATTCCACTAAATGTTACATTTTCTGAATTATTAACATTATACAATATTGCTTAGTTCATAGATCAACTCCTTTTGATCTAGTATGACTTTGAAAACAATACTCATTGCAGGATGTAAGTCTCCAGGCTGAATACAATTCTATTTTCCAAGACTAGTGAAATACCAATTAAGTTTTGGCAATATGAATTCTACTATATGCTCTATAAGTGTATAGCATTTTTATTGTAATGCAGAATCAATCACACACTGTTAAAACCATTTTTTCTTTATTTAATACATTTAATTCAATACAACTAATAATAATATTGAGAACTGTGTAGTTCTCAGTATATTCTACTGAGTTGTATTCTACAATACAACTGTGTAGAATATAAAAATAAGTACAAAAGAAAACCCTACTTACTGGTAAATTTCTTTAACATACAAATAATTCCAATGTAGATCACTACACAGTAAGTGCTACAGAAATGGTACAAATGGTCTTATATATAAGAGAAAGTTACTTCTGATGTGGTAAAAAAGTAAAGCTTAGAGGATGGAAGGGGTGCAATGAAGTGGACCCTTGCAGATGGGCAAGACTCCAGCCCTTGTGAGGAGGTGAGAACACCCAAGGCAAAGGGATGGCACAATCAAAGATATGGGAGCGGGAGGGGGAGCGGGAAGTGACGGCCTGCCCAGGACAGAGAGAGCACTCTAATTCGGCAGAAAGCACAAACACACTCTGAAAGTGCACGAGATGAGGTCTGAAAAGCTGTGGACAATCTTTAAAGGACCTATTCAATCAAACTAGAGTGTGAACTTTATTTCTTACATTATGGGAGGACCGTGAAGTCTTCTGAGAGTGTAGGATGCAATTTCAAAAATACTCTTGCCCTGGCCGGGTAGCTCAGTTCATTCAGGTATCATCCAGCATGCCGCAAGATTTTAAGTTCGATTCCCAGTCAGGGCACGTACCTAGGTTGCAGGTTTGATCCCTGGTTGGGCCATGTACTGGAGACAACCAAGCGATGTTTCTTTCTCCCCCTTTCAAATCCATGGGTGAAGATTTAAAACAAACAAACTAATCATCTAAAAAGATGACTGTGGTGATCTATGTAGCTCAGACCAGAATGTGTAAAAAACAGGAACAGAGAGGTTAAGAGGCTTTCCAAATAGAAAACCAGGGGACAGTATTAGAAATAGAAAAGCAAAAATGGAAACAGTAGAAAGAAAGAAACATAAGATTTGGTGATTGATGGGAGGTAAAAGAAACGTGAGAGACTAAGATTTGCAGCTTAGGAGACGAGAGGACGGGGTCAGGAGACGGCCTGGGAGTGGAAGGCAGACAGTACACAGTGTTTGAGGTTCTGCCACCAGAAAGGGCTGAAGTTTATACAAGATAAACAAGTGTACCATATGTTTTGTTTGGCCACATTTTCAAAACTTCTATGCAAATCATGTCTAAATTTTGAGTGTACCTAACTGAACTACACTATTGGGTACATGAATTCCTTATATGATCCCAAGAAAAATATGCAGTTTCTAATTATATAATATATATGCATATAAATACACAAATTTAAAAGTACTTAATATGTCATATACTTACAGATTTTATAGCATTTACTTTGTGTCTCAGACTTTCAGTGAGTCTGTCATTTTCTTCTTCACAGGCACTGTACCCACTATTAGCATAGCCATAGTTGCCAGGCGGTGCTCCTTCACCTGCAAGGATTGGCCCCAAGTACAGTTGTAGCCAAAAGTCACTTTTGAAACCTTGATAAGAAAGAACAGAAAAAGACCCCTGGAGGGCGTTGCAGACCACATATGTCTATAACATTCACATTTCAGGGGAATTTTAAAAATTAATAAACCAAATAAAGAGCAGAACAATTCCTTCAATGCCCTCTCTTAAGCAAAGACTATTCAATTAATTTGAGTCCACATCTCCTGATTGCTAATTGATTGCCCACAACACACTAAAACAAGCACTGATGCATAAGGATATCCAGGACATAGTTACGGCTCCACAGAACTACACACTTGGAAAAAGAACTGAAGTTGTGACACTGACTCCCCACTGAAGAAGCCTGGCTATGAAGAGAAAGGGAGGGGGAGGACAATACAGCAGGAAGGAGCTCACAGCAGAGGGAGGGTCCTGTATTGGCATCCTTCTTTTACATAGAGGAGAACTGGAATAACTTATGAATACAGGGGATCATTCATTTTTCAACAAATATTTAAGAAACCATCTGTCAGATCCATTGTTCTTTTTAGGTGCTACTTTTTGGAGCTCATCTTCTAAGGGATAAAATTGAGAACACAGGAATGTGGTCCCTGCCACTGCCTAATATAGTACTTGATATACATCAGGCAATCAAACTGGTGGAGTGAGCCTTGCACAGTGAGTCCTTAGATAAATGTGTTGGGGAAATGAGAAAGTATAGTTCAAGGTGTTGTTTAACATTTAAAAAATAATTGATGCCAAAAGAAAAGGCTGTCTCTGAAGACTGGAGAAAACTATAAAGAGAATGGAGGAAGCTGTCTGCACAGGTTCCTGGGGGCGGGCGGGGGCGAGAAACAATCCCGGCTGAAGCAATATACAGGAGTGGTTTTGACCTTCACGGGTGTATGTGAGAGGTCGTCAGCCTGAGTTGCCCATGAGAAGCTGGATGGTCAGACTACTCAAGAGTTGGAAGTGTACAGTGTTGGGCTGCAGATGCACAGAACCCCAAGAGGTTGAGACTGCTTACCAAAAGAGCGGTTGAAGATATGGATTACAGGGTCCAGACTAGACAGGGCTTCAAGTAGTTTCAATAGATGTCTGAGACTATGGGGAAAGGGGTGATCCAGAAACCAGAAGTCTGGTAAACTCAAAGGGTCAGTGGAGTGGAAGTGAGGGTAACAGATGGAGGACAGGAAGTGGCTGTCAGCACTGGTAGTTGAAGGATGGTTGAGGTGTGACTAGAAAGCTCTTTCAAGGCACAGCCAGAGCTCATTTTCTCTAAAAATCAAAACTCCTTCTTTCAAATTCCTACAGTTCTGGCTGTATCTAACACTAACACCATACTCCAGGCTGCACTCTAAGGGCAGAAACTAAATGTTCCCTCATGGCCATGTGTACCCTACAAATGTCTGCACACACATGCATATGTCTGCATACACATACAGTAAGTTGTAAATGAATTAATGAGTAGAATCTCAGTTCACCGTTATTCGACTTTGAATGTGCTTGCTTTCGTTAAGAATGGAATTATAAGCTTTTTTGAGGGCAGATACAGTATCTCATAATTCTGTGTCCCCTGTACCTAATGAGTATTTTATATGCAGCAGACACACAATCTCCACCACCACCACCACAAAGAAAAGAAAAAAGGAAAGACAAGAAAGCCACACTCAACAGACAACAAAATGTTAAAGTATTTTCCAGAGGAAAAAAGAGTTGCATTTCCCCAAATTTCCCTCAACTGCTGACACATAAAGGTCTCCAAAGTGTTATTATGAAAGTGAAGAACGTTCTATGACTAAGCATGGTGTTTTCCCCCACTCATTCAAGTAATCATTTAAAAATGTATTCTCATTCCATCAATTAATGATATTCTGTACACACTCTAATAAGGATCAAAGTCCTTAAAGAAAAGAGTTATATCTCCTTTTATCACTAAGGTTCTGAATGTACATTTGCCCAATAGATAATTATTGACTGGTTGAATTTAATCCCTTGACAACTTCACCAAGGAATTTATTTCTAAATTAATAGCTATTCGCTTTATTTCCTTTGTTTTGCTCTTTGGCTTACCTTAATTTTAATTTTAAAGTTCTATAAGGTTCCATTTATTAAAAAGTAAAATTCTCATCTACCACCCAGGAACCTTTCGATGTACATTTCTTCTGTTAAGAGAGTTTTAGACTTCCCTCACACTATCATCCACCCCCAATAAAAAAAGATAAATTCAAATGAAATTCTAGGAGTTGCTGTTCCCAACTTAGCTCCCCTTTTTGTCTGAATCACTGCTACGAAAGCTGTAGGAAACGCAGTGAGTGGCAAAGTCACCATCCTCAGTCTTTGTCCATTAGATACATGCTACTTCTTTTGGGTAGTTTCTACCAATAGCTGAACCACATCATTTAGGGATTCACGTGAAGTGTGACGGCCTCTCCACATGAATAGCTATCAGATTCACTACTTATCCCAAGTTTAAAATTCCAGGTCAGTACACATTGATACTTAAAAGAAAACAAAGAACACCCTGGCTGGTGTAGCTTAGTGGATTGAACGCAGGCTGAGAAACAAAGTCAGGGCACATGCCTGGGTTGCAGGCCAGGTCCCCAGTGGGGGCCACGTGAGAGGCAACCACACACTGATGTTTCTCTCCCTCTCTTTCTCCCTCCCTTCCCCTCTCTCTAAAAATAAATAAAATCTTAAACAAAAACAAAAAACAAGCAGCCTGCTTCACATAATACCAGTATAAATTATAGCAATGGACACCTAGGTCATCACCCTTCCTCTCAACTGCAGGGGAGCTTGAAAGAAAAAGTCTCTACCCAGAGATTCTAATTTAATCAGTCTGAGCTTGGGGGACGGGGGTCCAGGCTGCAGTGCCTTAAAAGCTCTCCAGGTAATTCTAATGTACAATGAGGGCTGAGAATCACCACTTGTCAAGTTCTTTTCCTGCAATTTATCATGACACACTGCTGAACAAGATATCCAAAGGGTCCAAGGGGCCTATGGATAAAATCCAAACTCCTTGGCCTGGCACTCAAAAATTTCTACAACCTCGTAGCTCTGGTTCCGAGTTTCCTACTTCAGTCAAACTGGCTTGCTCATAATATTGTCAACGCACCATTCATAATTCTACTCCTATAACTTTTTTGGGGGGAGGGCAGGCAGTTCATCCTTCCAGCTGGAACTTACGTCCCCCACCCTCTGTCTTCAAGTTCTAGTTCAAGTTCCTATGTTTCCACAAAAGTACACAGCACTCCATCTCTGAAATCCCTAAACATTCACTATCTGTAGAACTTGTCTGGCATTTGGATGTATGACTGCCACCTTGTACTATAACTTATCTTTGAACGTGTTCCTACTCCCCAACTAGATTGGAAGCTTTGGGGAGCACAAACAGGGCCATAAACGACTGCATACCTAGAGCTTACTCAAGTACATAATAAATGTTTCCTTTTGTCATTACTAATGATACAAAGGAAAAATATCTGGGTATATAAAACTAAACTTGCTCAAAATTAGTTATTTTTTCTCTACAATTTACCTGGTCAATTTTCCTACTGTGAACTGAGGATTCATAAAAACTGCATTTTTTCAAAAGCTGTTTCTTATACTATAATTTATTAATCAATGTACAATTCTAGAGTTAGTGGCAACTTTCACTAACTTTAAATATGTCTGAGACGTTTGAAAAATATTTTTTTTTCTTTTTCTCTCTTATCATAACTGAAAAAAGTAACATCTTTTTCTAAATATTTCATACAGTTTTTTCAGGTACACTGTTTCAGGTACACATGCTCATTTAGCAGGGTTCTATTCTTTTGTTCTTCTTTTTAAATTGTCTCCTAATAGAGAACTTCAGAATCAGAAAACGCTGTTTTAATAGCTGTGCATTATAATGGCCCACTACAAATCCTTGTGCCTAACTAATTCCTGCTGGTTGGTAATCAAGCTTCCTAAGACAAAAGGTGGAGAACAAATGCTAAGTCGCTAAGCATTACCACATTCTACTACTTTAACAGTGGAATAAGGCTCAGATAAGAAATGTTCTGGGTAAAGCGGCCTTTGACCCTGATGTTACATATCACGGACTTTAATATTAGTGACACGTATATTTACCTTTGTAACTCATTGTGATCATACTACTACTACTACTATCACTACTACTACTACTACTACTACTACTACTACTACTATTAGTGTGCTTGGCATGCAACACTCGTCAAATTTCACTTCTGATGAAACTAATATCCAAGGCCAGCAGAGAAGAAGAAACCGAAGCCGGGCTTTGGGGAATAAGCAACTTCCATAATTATGCTGGGTGAGAGAATTAACACTAAAGACTTGACTGCTGAGTTGGCACCTGCACATAGTCCAGCCCCAACTCCTCCACTACTCTCTCTAAATCCACCATCCAAACTTGGGACTGAACCAAACTTAAGGAAACCCCTAGGATCCGGGACAAATGAAGTGTTTCCACTTGGCACCGCCTCCAAACACCCCTCCATACATCCTGCTCTCTGGCTGTTTCCAGTGACAGAAACCCCGCGTTCCGGCGCCCAGCACCGCCAGTTCCAGGGCCCCTGAACTTCGAACCTCAGCCCTCTCCTTACCCAGGCCTGCACGCCTCATCCTGCAAGAAGAGGGAGGGAAAAGCGGGAGAGTGGTAGGTAGGAGGGAGCCAGGGGTCACGCGCACCACAACTTCAGGACGAGGGCCCGGCGAAACAACTTCTTCCCCTAAAGCGCCACGACAACAGTGGAGTCTAAACACTGCGCGGGCTGATGGCGTCATCCAGACGCTCATTGGCGCCCTGCGAGGCGTTTGAATGGCATTCTGGGCAATGTAGTTCACACCGGATGCCGGGCCTAGGGCAAGGGCGTGGTGTGAACGCGGCTCTGGGCTTCCGGCAAGTGCCTAGGCTCCTGCGCCTTCGACTTTGGGTCTTCGCTGTGGAGCTCGCGCCCTCGCTAGGGTTTGTTCTCAGCGTGTAGGTCCCGGAGTTTAACCTTCCCAGACCTTGAGAGGATGGTTGGCTTTTCTTGATTCCACCTCTCACTTCCTCTCACGTCCAATGTCAGTTCAGGGCAAGTCGAAGAAAACTTGTTCCAAGTTCCTGATCGCTCACATAAGAAATCTAAGGCCACTGAGGGAAAGCAAGAACGCTGAGCGATTCATGCCGGGTCACCCAGTAAACTTCCCGGTTACTGGATTGCTTGTATTTCTACAAAGAGCCATGGTATTGCTTGTTAAGAGGGCCTAAAGACCTGTAAACTGTTCTGACCTTTTAAACTTACTCAGGGGACACTGAAATACTCTTACACATGGCAATGATCCAATTTATTAAGATTTTAAAAGCTTGTTGGCCAGTCAGGGTGGTAGTGAAATCAAAGCTGGTCCTAGAATTTCATTTTATTTCACAGGATTATCATGAGAAGTAATGAAATAACGGTTTTTGTTGAAAAAACGTTTTGCTTTTGTTTCTTCAATCTGACGCACAGTAAAATGCTCAGAACGCACTGGGTGTTTTTGCGGTTTGGTTGCTGCTGAGACACAGTGGAATACTTTCTCCATGCTAGAGATTTCCGAAAATGCAATCTCTGATCATTTCCCTCATAGTTTCCCAATATAAACATTGACTATAGCCGTGGCAGATAAATTTCTGCCTTAGGGTTGTTTTTGTAAAATGCACTTGAAAACAATTTTTAATAAAAGTTATTAACTTGGGAAATAAGCTTAATCCAATAGCATTTTGAGAGAAAAGTAGTCTTCATAAAAATAAACCACCCTTCTCTAAAATCAATGGAATTAAATGAAGATTGCATCAGGGACAATTATTGCAAAAAAAGCAAGGAAGTTTCAGTAAGAAAAATGATAGCAAAGCTTCCTTTTTTTCCTTACTATCTTTGACAGTCTCTTTTTTTGTAAAAAGTACACATGCTCTATAATCAAAACATGTCAGAAAAGTCATCTTATTTAAGGAAGGCTTTTTGTTTTCACATAAATGCAACTTTTTAAAAGTGGAATGTTAAATTTACCAAAACAGACTATTTAGATTACATATGTACTTGTCCTCTTTATAAACTGCTTTCTTTACATGGCAGGGAGATATAAAGATAAAGTACAGTTAAAAGAAAAAATAAAGTGTATCAAAAATATAACACAAGACAGGCAATGCTGGTTTATATCAAGCTTGTGAGCTAAAAATCCAAATAGTTGTTTATTGCTCCTGGTGCCAGTCTCAAATTAGGATGATGTCATTTATTTCATTCTTCTGTCTGAAGACCAGATTCCCATAACTGTCCCAAAATAAAAGCTGTAGCACCATGTTTCTCTGATCCTCCAGTTTGACCCCTGTGGCAATCTCCTGGAAGAAAAAATCTGATTAGTCAAATGGGGGTCTGTGGCTAGTGGGTCCAATCAGTTGATGCTGAGTGAGAGGGATTCTAGAACCCTGGGCAGAGCAGGTTCTAAGAAGTGGTAGCAGGAGTAGGAGAGAATAGTTGTCAGTACATTAAAGCATATGTACGGTTAGAGAAATTGCCTAAAAGTGCCAGGCCTCTGCTCTGAGCCATACACAAGTCTCATGGTACAACTTAGAAAAGTGAAGGCTGTGGTGTTGCGTCACATCACTAAGGGCTTCATCACTCTCACAAACTGGCCATAAGAGTTAGGGTTTGTTAGTAAGGGCAATGATTTGCGTTAATAACTCAGGCGAGTTTGGACCCATGACTTCACTCCTGTTCATTTTATTTCATTGAATTTTCTTCACTGGGGTTCGAAGACCATCTTCTGTTAGGAGCCAATGATAAAGATGGTCTTCTTCGAAGCACACTGAGTGCTCTGACCCTCCCTGGAGTGGAGGGTGAGTCTGAAGTTGTGACTTCCCAGAGGCACAGTTCACATCCCCCTCATATCTCTTTAGTAGCCCATTTGATTCTGAAATCAAATCACATCCCACCATTTTAACGAAATAGAGTGTTTTATTAATTTTAAATTCTTTCATAGCAAGTTTTTTTTTCCTTTTCCATAGGAAGTGGAATAAAAATGGCTGTAATTTATACTTGACAGTTTTAAAGTAAATATCATCTTTGATTTATTTTTATACACATGCAAAAACTGTTTTTGCTAGATGGGACACATTACAAATTTGATTTTTTCTTTTCCCTAGGTACTTTTTCCCTCTCTAAAATTCTCTTAAGTAGAGCTCCAAGATCAAAGAAGTAGCTTAATTAGTGACTATTAGCAAGGAGTTATGTGGAAAGAATTCTTACAGAAAGAATTATAAAATTGATTTCATAGGAGGAAGGGACGGAGAGTTTGCCACTGTAGCCCCAAGCCCCCAAACTTTATCCAGGTGTTAATGTGGGACTTCTGAGCACCTAGCATGGATGCCTAATTCTAGGCTACCATAAACTTTTGTAGCTCAATTAGAAAGCTTTGAAAAATGTTTTTAAATGATAATGAGTTAAGTAAGCATTCATTAATGCTGATACACTACTCTGAAATCTAGATTTATTCCATTAAATGATAATGTGGTGTTTTTTTGCACACAGGTGCCATCAATTACAGGGGTGGTGGACAATGACATCCATCACCCATGGGTGTGAATATTTTTCTCTGGTGCCTTATCACTGTTCTGCAGAAAATAGAAAAAAAGGAGTTATAAAGAGGATTTTCTTCCACACAAGGTGACTGTGTCCTCTCTTAGCCCAACTGCAGAAGTAGGTTTGATCTTCAGGTATGACATCATACCTCACTAATATTCTACTGGGTGAAAGCTAACGTAACTGATGGAAGAAAGAACCTGACAGATTCTACTGTTAGTGAAATCCTGGAGTGGCTTGTCAAGCCTACTGAAACTTCTCTTTACCTGGAAGGTCTTAAGATAGGGCCATCTCAACATTCTCTCAATGTGGAGTGTGACTTAAGAGTTACTCCCATGCAGCCCTCAGCAGAAGTCAATCTCTGCCAGCATCTCCACTTGTGCTTTTCCCTCCATGTCAAAGTCAGCCTAGTGATTTGCTTATGCAGATGACACCACAGTTGTAACTGAATGAAAAGAGGATTGGATAAAGGAGAATTGGGACAGACAGTGAGTAGCCATATGTCATTTATCTCCAGACACCACTGATGTCCTAATCTATCATTGTAGTCCTGGCCCCTTTCTTCATTTCCAGTAAGCTACTTCTCCCATTCTTTTGGGCATTTCTCTTTGGATATGCCAACGTCCTTTCAAACTCAGTAATTGTCTCTCTCAAACAGCTTGTCTTCCTGACTTTTTGTCCTTGCTAGTGATATTATTAAGGCTCAAAGTCTCTGGGTCATTGTGAATTTTTCTCACTTTGTCCACAATATCAAACCACCTGTCTTCTTGACATGTCTTATTGATTTGCCCCTTTCTTTCCATTCCCAAATGAACAGTATTGTTAGAAGTTTCAAACACCTCAAATCTCCGTGGGGCTTCTTCAACTTCCTTGCTTTTTAGGGCCATTCCCCTCAAACACTCCAGAATTCTGATCTTTTCTGATCACAATTTAATCCCATTTAATGAATTCCCTATGATTTGATGGAGATACACCAAACGTGGAACAATAGCAGACATTTGAATCTTTGCAGCACTTTACAAGGTATGCCTGGAAAAATCCAGCCATTGTTAATATAACAAGAACAGCTCATGTGACATCCATGTAACCTGGCAGCCAAAGAGAGTGGACTGGAATGTGTATGTGTGAACAACAACTTCCCTGTACTAGTCAGTGGGGGTGGGAGAAGCCATTGAATGAGCATGTGTACTGTGTAGCCCTTGCATTCAAAATGACTGAGTGGGTAGAACAATTAATCTACATCCAATTTTGCATGAAACTTGAACATTTCCTCTGTGGAAACTGTTCGGATGATTTAGAAGGCTATAGCTGTAGGTAACTGGTGATTGGCAGTTTCATCATGGTAACATGCCAGCTGATGCACTAGGTTTTGTGCAGAGTTCTTTGGTGAAACATAAAATCACCAGGTGACTTAGACCCACGGCAGCCCAGATTTGGTGCCCTGCAACTTCTGGCTTTTCCCAAAACTAAAATCACCTTTGAAAGGGAAGAGATTTCAGACTGTCAGTTTGATTCAGGAAAATACAATAGGGCAGCTGATGTGATTGGGAGAACTATGTGAGGTCCCAAGGTGCCTACTTTGATGGGGACTGAGACGTCATTGTCCTATGTACAATGCTTCTTATATCTTGTATCTTCTTCAATAAATGTCTCTATTTTTCATATTAAATGGCTGTATACCTTCTGAACAGACCTCATAAATTAGTAGTGTTTTATCATTTACATTTATGTCTATACTTTAATTAGTTTTGTGTATTGTATAAAATAGGAGTTAAGTTGCAGTTTTTTTTCTGTGTGAATATTCAATTTTTCCATTATCATTACTATTAAAAACACTGTCTCTGTCTCCTTTCCCCGATCCCTCCTCATAAACAGGACCTCTATACCTGTGGCCTTTTAATAAGCTCTCTACTTATTCCACTGGTTTATTCTTATATCCTTGTGCCAGCAACATGCTATCTTAAATAGCTTTATGATAAGATAATGTTCAGGAGAACAAGTCCTCCTATAATGCTCTCCTTCTTCAAGAATGTCTGAACTATGCCCCCTTTGCATTTCTGTATAACTTTTCAAAAACAATTTGTCGAATTTCACTTTGAAAAATCCTGTTGATATTTTGACTGGGTCTGCATTGCATTAGGAAAGCAGTGATATCTTT